GGGGGGGACGCGCCCCTCGGCCCCACTGAATCTTTAATATTTTTTTTTTGCAACAACATCAAGGAACGGACCGTGCTGGAAAAGCCCTTTAAGCCTCCCCTTCTCCCCCCCAGCACCAGCCGCCCACCTCTGACAAAGTTACAGCTCTGTGTAACCGCTCAGTCCCGGGATGGAGCCCTCCTCCTCAGTATTTAGCTATTTGTAAGTAATCTCGGCTGAATTTGTCCGCTTTCCCTCCCCCAGCCCTGGTGCAAACCCCCCTCCCTTTATTTTCCACATTTATTTCGGCTCCATTTCAAAGCAATCACTTCACACCTCTTTTTTCCCTCCTTCCCTTTTCTTTCCCCCCCTCATTCTAGGTTATTGCACTTGTTTGTTCTCTCCTTACAAGCTCAGGTAAGTATCTTCTTTTATTCTTTCTTTGTTTGAAGCCAACCAGTAAAAACAATCTTGTTGTTTAATTGTTCCAGAGCCAAATCTGCTTTTTAACAAAAATATAATAATAATCGAAGGGGAGTTTTTGGAAGAAGGGGGAAACTGGTGGTGAAGGGGGAAACTGGTGGTAACTCTTGACCCATCGACATGAGGCAGAAAGGAGAGTTATTTTACACCAAGATCCAGGGGAAATCATCCATTTGTAGTAGGTTCAAGGAGAAAAGGTTATTGCAGGCTGCAGATTTAAGAAATGAAACGAGAAGACGAGCCAAAATACAGAGCAGGAAATATAAGTTGATTGCTTGAAATTAGAGGGCAGTACTTGTAAGTGGCGTGGTTCTTTTAATTGCAAGTAGCATTGTGGGTTTGTCACTATTGGGTCTTTTTTTATCCACACGCCTTCACTTTAAAAAAAAAAATCTGATTCGGCCCAGCCCATAATCTCAGTCTTTAGCATCACTCTTTCTGATTGCTAAAGCTTCGAATCGTGTTGTGAATATATTCAACAGCCCATCCTCAGCACAGCTAGATGCTGTGCAAAACCCACCTCGGGGAATTGCCATCCCTCTGATTTCAAACCCAGGGTGGGAACAATCCAGGGATTACAGGTGGGAGGTTTTGTTTAAAAAGGACATTGATCTACAATTTTGGAAGCTTGGAAAAATAACGATTCCGGCATGAAGGGGGTGGAAAGCAAAGGGAACGGAGCCAACCCAGCGAGAAGGAGTTGTGTTAAAACATAGTTACAATATTTTGGAGTATCAGATGGAGACCAAATAGCCGTATGGCAGGCAATCCTCTTCTCCACATGGTACCCTCATCAGAGTTGGCAAGAGAACCCAGAGATATTATCCAAAAAGCATCCATAGGAAATACACAGACAAAGAGAGCGAGCGAGAGAGATTAAATTGTCAGGAGGAGATATCTATATAAACTCAGCTTTGGGGAAGCAGTGGCTGTTCTGATAGCAGGGAGGAATCCTTCATGTTTGACATGGAGGTGGGGCGGGGGGCTCGGGTGATGCTGAAAAGAGCGATCTCCTCAACATTTGCTCAGAATACGTCTTTATAAATGTCAGGGGCAAGCGAAACCTTCCAGACTTAAAAGAGGGATTTGAGCCCAGGGCCAGGGAATTCCGAGCAGACTTGACTGGCAGAGGAAAAGCAGATTTGGTGCTCCCCAAATCGTTCACCGGGAACAAAAGCCCACCGGTGGCACAGCTGGTTCTGTAGAGAACTGGGTCAGTAACTGATCTGGTGCTAACGGGTTTCTGTTTAATCGGAATGTTTGGGGGGGGCTGCTGGTGGGAAACCCCTCGCTGGAGCCGTTCATAAATATTAGAGGGAAAATCGATTGCAAACTGCCTGGCTGCTACACAGGGCTGAGTCCAGTTGGGGGATCATTTGTGGCTGTGTTTGCCTTCTGTGCCATCGGTTATTTTGGTCTCAGGCACGGTTCCCTTGGAGCAGTTCCGGGCTCTGCCTTGATCGATGGGTTTTCTTTGAACGAGGACTCAAAAATCAGAAGGGGGTGGTTTGAAAGAGCAGAAAAATGAAGAGCAAAGGGCCAGAGAGAAAAGCAGTTGTTAAAAACGAATGGGAATGATACTGCCTATACATACATGCACACGGCTAGGTGACACCTTAGGACCGTGGTTACATGATGCGAGAACCGGTCTCTTCCCACGGAAATGTACGGACAATGTATAATGTAGTGGTACAGATCCTGCTGTCACTTTGGAGGTAAATCTGGAGTAACTCCCTTATAGTCAGTGGCTTGACGGCAGGCAGTGTAAATGGGAGAGGAGTTTGCTCCTCAGTATGCACCAGCCTGGAGTCTGATCTGGCTTGTACCCGTATAAATCCGCAGTAACTCCTCTGAAGTCAATGGAATGGCACTGGTTCCAAAACGGAGATAACTAAGGTCCGAATCCGCCCTGGGTATAATCACCTGCGCACCCCTGGAGTCAGTGATTTCCTTCTCGCTGCTGATTGATGTTTGTGCAGCACTTTGCATTTGGAAAGCACTGTATGAGTGTTACAACCCATAGCGATCCTGGCTTTGCACCATATAAACTAGCTGCCTCATAAACCCCCACTGGAGGCCAGCGACCGTCACGCAGCCCATTAGCCCCTCGGAGGAGCAGAGATTATAATGGTGTGTTGTATATTTTTTAATTTCCTAAAGGTAACTGTTCAGTCCCCACCTAATTTTACACAGCATGTGAGGGAGCAGAGCCTGGTGACGGATCAGCTCAGCCGACGGCTCGTCCGCACCTACCAGCTGTACAGCCGGACCAGCGGGAAGCACGTGCAAGTCCTGGACAACAAGAAAATCAATGCCATGGCCGAGGACGGGGACGCTCATGGTAAGGGCACAGGACGGGGCGCACACGGGGGCGGGGGAACAGACGGTGATGGGGGAGCGTTACCGGTGCAGCGGAGTAACTGATGGTTCCCGTCCCGTTCGTTAGCCAGGAATCATTGAAATCGTTTGGGTCGTGGGGTCCTGCAAAGGGAGACCATGGGGATCAATGCTTATAATAAGACTTAGCTCTGACATGATCCAATTGTCAGGGTATGTTCCAAGCGACACCGTATCTAAGGAGGGAATAGGAGCTTTGGGGTTGTTGTTTTTTTACACCTGACCCCGGGTGCGTTGAGGGCCTGCCGTCTGATAGCTGCTGCAGCCAGTGGCAGGCTAGGCTCCAGGACGGAGATGGCTGCAAATATTCCCTTCAAAGAAACATAAATGAGTTACTGATTTGTTGGAAGGGGGGGGCAAATTAGAACTAACCCCAGAATGGGAGTGGTATTTCCCTGAAATATACTCTGTGCCCCAGACTTCCACACCCACCCGGGCTAGCCCAGAGCTAAGGTGCAGGGAGGGAGGGAGGGAGGTGAAGAGGACTGCAGTGTAGCTCCAGTGACAAAAGCGAGGAGGCTCTGGAATTGGAGATCAGTCTAGGGACAGATTCCCTCGGCCACTTGCAAGGGTGTTCCAGATGGGGCCTTTGACAGGGCACCCATGGAAAGACACCAGTCCCTGCAGCTTTCACTCTCAAAGGGGAAAGGGTGTGACAGAGCAGCCCCAAGACGTGTGAAAGTCTAAATACTTTGATCATGTGTGTTAATTACACAATCAAATGGTCAAACACATACCGGAGGTCAGGGGTCTTAGCAAAGCTGTGGACGCTCTAATTGTTGTGGGCCTTTGGCAGTCTCTGCGTATATGTGGAACGCAGCTATGAGGGGACAGACTGGCTCCCGCTCCTGGCGAATTCAGTGGCAGGAGACGCTCACGTCTGTTGTTTGTGTATGTATTTATACGTGCTACACATTCGAATCATTACTGTTTTTCTTTGGTATTAGCTGCAATTTCCCTTTCTTGCTCAGAGAGATTAGCGGAAAATATATATATTTTGATTTGGCTGAAAATTTTATGATGAACTTTAATAGTTAGACTAAGTGTGGATTCCACATCTTGCTCTATATTAACCTTTCAAATGACATATCCCTGGCATAAAGCAGCTCCAGGTTGAAAGGGTATTAGATTATTTCCCAGGAAATGAAAAAAATCTCTTCTTGTTTTTTATATATATATATGTATTTTAAAAAAGAAGAGCAGCTATTGCAAATCTAAATAATGACCAAGTTAAACAAAGCCAGCAAGAGGGAGGGCTAGTGGCAGCATGAAAAACTCTATTAAAAAGTCATAAAAAAGGTTAAGCATTTGAAGAGCTAAGAAAAAAAATGAAGAATGATCTAAAACAGAAAAAGTACAAGCAGTTTTTCAGATGTAAAGTTTTAAAAGAGTTGCAAGTCTGTAAATGTTAAAATAGAGGTTCAGGATTGTTCTATATGAATCTCTAGAGAGACCCCCATGTCTGGAAGAGCTATTAAAACTCTTCTGACTTTCACCTTTTTTAACATTTCCTGAATACTTTCTCCTCTTCGCAGTCCAGTTAGGGGATCAAGTGTGTCTCGCTGCATTTTTTCAGCATTTACGTAGCCACTTTCCCTTCAAAGTTTTAGCATGAAACATAATTTTACTGGGATAAATCTGTCACTTAAGTGAAAGAATAGAGTTGAATATGTTAAGCTTTTTTTTATAAAAAAATCAACCCCAACAACTGTTATTTAAAAATCCCCTTTAACAAAAATTAAAAACTGAAAGCATTTGGATTATATTTTTCGGATGGGAATAAAGGGGTTGATTTATTTCTGCAACTGACCGCTTTCCCCGCTGCGACGTTTTTACTGCCGACTTAATGTCGTGCACTGTTCTCGGTTATTTGTCTTAATTGTCAATATTTGACTGACTTTTTAATTATGGGCAAAGTGGGCTGGATGATAAAGCCCTCCTCATCCTTCCTGAGCTGTGTCTTTGACAAAAACCAACCCCGAGCGGCTTTAATCCGGATTACAATGTCCGCAGGCCAAGTGACTCGGAAATGGTGCTGGATCCCCCAGGAACGATCCCAAAGTGCTCTGATTTCTGTACGATTTAATCCAGGCTGCACCTTTGGGGGCTGGGGGATTTGGTTCTGGAAGGGCGCAGGTTGCCCGAATCCAGCGTGCAGCCCTGGGAGCTGCATGTCCCTGGGACAGGCTGGGACTTGTCTTTTCTTTTGCGCCCCCATTGTTTCTATCGAGCTGCTCTCTGGAGCCGAGTGCTTACAGGGCCCTCGGTGTGAGCAGCTGCCCGGCATCGGAGCGGCTCCCTGGCCAGGCTGGTGCGGGGAAGCAAAAGCGACCAACAGGGCTATAAATCAGGGGAGGAGGCGGAGGGGAAAGAGATGTGCATCTTTAAAGCTGTGGGTTTGTGCCGCTCTTCCTTAGGCTTTCCTCCACTCACCCCCCCCCCCCGATCTGTCAATCGATCAGCAAAGGGAAAGAAAATCAATGCTCTTTAAACCTTTTACTGCCTCTCCGATCAATTCCGCTCCCCTGGCCCCCTCCAGAGGCAGATCACGAAGGGGTCCCCGTCGCAGGGACTCTGGTCGGCTCAAGTTGTGCTTTTGGAGATATTTGGATGGTGCCGGTGTGCTCTGGGAGGTGCCGGGCCCAGGAGAGGAGGTGGAGGGGGTGTGACGGGGGCGAGGGGCAGAGGATAGGCATGTCCTTCTTTCCAGCTCATCAATTCAAAGTTCAGCCTGCCCATGGGGGGGGTTTGGTACCAGTGGGCTTTGAATGCCAGATCCACAGCAGGGCGTCAGGCTCTGCCCGGACCGTTTGGGGGTGGGAGGCTGTGCTGGCATCGTGAGGCTGGGGGTCTCGGACAAGGGTTCCTGCTCGTTCAGTGGACCTTGCTTCGCTGAAGCCTTCCCATCTGTCTAGCTGACCTGCAGGAACGGAGGGGTTGGCCCCCTGGCTGAGGCTTCCCTGTGTGTCGAAGCCCCTCTCTTTTAGGGGGGTCTGGCCCCTGGGGATGATGTTCAAAGGGCTTTCTTAGCAGCAGCTGCAGGGTGAGCCGGCGCGCCGGGCTGCAGGGTGAGCTGGTGTGCCAGGCTCCAGGGTGAGCTGATGTGCCAGGCTCCAGGGTGAGCCGGCGTGCCGGGCTGCAGGGTGAGCCGGCGCGCCAGGCTGCAGGGTGAGCTGGTGTGCCAGGCTGCCAGCTCTGACTCTGACTTGTCCTGTTGTGACTGAATAGCGTACGATTCGGAGGGCAGGGCCCTTGCTTCAGTGACGTCAGGGGCAGTGGTGGCATTCTGGTAGTGCCAGGGACTCCAATCATGCCCTGTGCAAGGCGCTGTACAGATTAATCACAAGGAAGGCAGTCCCTGTCCCCGATTGGTCCCAGTCTGGCTGCTCTTTGTGCAATTCTTCCCTTTGGTTTTCAAAGGTAGTTTCGTATCCTCTCTAAAAAGCCCCAGCCCCTCGCATCAATCCAGCGCCTGCATCCCCAAGGATCCCAAAGCACTGCCAGAACCATTCCATCGCTTCGTTCGCCCCTGAAGTGCAGCTGCCTCTGGGGCAGAATGCAGGAGCTGTTGGACTGCAAGCAACACAAGGCCAAAACAAAAGAGAGAGCAGTTCTTGCCGTGGGAGGTGTCTGCAAAAGGGCACTGTCCTGTGGACTGGGAGAAAGGATCTTCCAGTGATTGGAGCCAGGGGGTTCCTGGATTCTACTCCTGGACGCACCAATGACTTGGGCACGTCATTACGTCCCTCTGTGCGTTGTAAGATGGGGGTGATTGTTGCTGATTCAACTAATTAATCTAGCTCAACGAAGCAATATTTGCAAGGTGCTTTGAGAGCCTTGGTTTGAAGGTGTGGCAGGAAATCCATTGTGCTGAACTGACAATGACAGATCACGGCGACTGGTCCGCATGTGCCGTGCCAATCCAAGCCTGCCCGTTGGCTTGTCACGGGCGTGCGTAGGTCACCTGATACCCAGCTCTCGCGCAGTGATCTCAGAGGCCCTTGTGGGCGCTCCAATCCTCAAGGCCATGAAGTGCAAGCTTCAGCGACAGCCCTTGTGGGAAGCTCTAATCACCAGCTCCCCAGATTGCTACAGTATCACGAGGGCCCGATCCTGCCAGCCTCAGCCATAGGCTGTGACGGGGAGGGGGGCGGGGGGGCTGCTCAGCTGATTCAGGAGTGTAGATCTGGTCCTGTTTCATGTCAATTGCATCCTGTAGTTATAGGGCTTAACTCCTCCCATTCACCCCGGGGCAGCGTCATTGACCGTGAGAGACTTACTCCCCATTTGCAGGAGGGTGGGATCTGATCGGGCCAGTGGATATTTAAGAGCAGGTCCCTGCTGGGCTTTCCCGAGCTCCCTCTGCAAGAGGCTTTCTCTGCTGGCAGCAGCAACGTGCCTAAAGTACTGGGGGGAGCTCCCTGCTCCGGGCGGCACACGCCCAGGGAGGAGGTGGTGACAGGTCTATTTATAGGCGCCCCATCGATCGGCGATTTGCATCGCTCCTTCGGCCGCCGATCGATGGCTCCATTAAAACACGGAGCCCGAATCAATACGCCCCCTCAACTCCCGCAAAGGTGAAACACATTAGCAGGGTGGCCGTGCCCGTCGGCGTCTCCCCTGCCAGCCACAAAGTCACCGCAGAGAGAGGCCCCCCTCTGCCCGCTTGGGCCTGGGGCGCTGAGCGACGGAGCGAGGGCCTGAACCGCAGGGGGAGGAGATGCAAGGAGGGTTAAGCAGCTCCCCCTTCCTTCCCCTTGGCTTGGATTCAGTTCCCAGATCTGCCTCCCTGCCTGTCCTTTCGGTGTCGAGTTAGCGTCCAGGGTGACTTTGCTCTCTCTCCATCTATATGGATTGCAGCTCCCAACTAAAGTCTAGATCCCTGGGGTACTGACACAGCCCCTGTGCTCTTATTATCCCAGCATCATGATCTTATTGATCTTCCCAGTCTCCCTGTGAGGCAGGGAAGTGCCGTCATCCCCTTCTCACAGAGGGGAAACCGAGGCACGGAGCCACTCAGTGATTGGACCATGGTCACCCAGGGAATCTGTGGTCTCCTTAGTCCCAGGCAGTGCCCTTCCTGTGAGATTGACAGTGAGGCACCTCTCTGCCCAATACGCGCCCTTCACCATAGCCTGGCCCAGCAAGAGGTGCATTCTGGGGCTTGTGCAATGTCCTGCGAAGCATCTAGTGTTGGCCAGAGGCGGGACGCCTGGCTAGCTGGGCCGGCGCTCTGTGCTGGGTCCAGTGCGGCTGGATTGCGGCTGTAGCCCGGGCGTAACAGGAAGCCGGCTGTGGTCCTGGTGTGCTCAGAGTCAGGCGCAGGTACCGGCGGGGTGGGGGCCGTTGGCCCACCAGGTGGGGAGCGGAGTGGGGGGTGCCTGCTGGAGCCCGTCGCTATGACCTGGCCTCTCTCCTTCCCACCAGCCAAGCTCATCGTGGAGACGGACACCTTCGGGAGCCGCGTGCGCATCAAAGGGGCCGAGACCGGGTTCTACATCTGCATGAACAAGAAGGGGAAGCTGATTGGCAAGGTAAGGGCGGGGGGCAGGCCTGGGGACCCAGCGCCCCCCGGGGAAGAGGGGAGCGGATAGAGGGAGGTGTCGAGGCAGGGGAAGGGGGGAACGTGGCTGCGGGGATCAAGGAGGCGATGGGGCTGGCAAGCTGGGCGGCCTGGGGCGAATTCCACGGCTCTCTCCTCACAAACAGCCGGGCTGCTCTGTGGTTCTGGGGCTGGCCCTTCCTGTACGCGCCCCCCTGAACTCCCAACGCTTCCTTCCTCACGGGGGAGCTGCTCTGTGGGGCGGCGGGAGGGTAAACTCCACTTTCGGGCCAGGATCGGCTGGAAGGTTTTGTGTTACTCTCCTTCCCTGGCGCTTGTCTGGGGGTGATCGGGGAGATCAGGCAACGCACAGACCTGCAGCGGTAGCTGCTTCCTGCACTCTCGCCCCCAGGCCCCTCCATTGCCAGCTGAACCAGCCCCCTCCCCCCGTCCCCCCGTTCTGCCGCTGCCCCCACTTGCATGTACATAGATTGGCAGTTCTTTGGCTCTCATCCCTGTGGGCCCTTTATCTCCTCTTCCCTCTTTCCATAGCTCCACGCATGTTTATTTCACTGCTCTTCGGGCGGGCCCTGGTTTAAGAGCCTAGTTTAGACCCAAGGAACCCAGCGGCTGGTGCAAATCGGTGCAGGCCCTTGCAATCTGCAGGCTCTGATTTGCACCAGCCGGGGAGCTGGCTCGTGAGGAATTCCTGCGCCGGCTCCTGCTTGCAGCGCTCTGTCCCTGGGGCAGCAGAGTGCGTTCTGCGCACGCAGGCATCCCAGCGCTGGGGAAACGGGGCCTGGCGGGAAGAAGTTCTTGTGGGAGGAGGTTCCGCTGGGCCTAGCGCTATTGGGGCAGTTCCTCCTCTCAGCCGGGGGGGGGGGGGGCCTGTTATAGAGTCCAGTCACTGACGTCAGCTAGCCAGGGAGCGTGGCAGCTCCGCAGATCTTTGCGCGTGCCTGGCTTAGCTCGGCAGGCGTGCGCCATATGTCTCGCTCGCACGCTGACTCTGCCGGGGGCTTGGCTGGCCACAGGCTCATCAGCTGCATGCATGAATGGAGCGCACACGTCAAACTGCGCCTCCTGGCCCACGTCCCCAGCCCCGTCCATCCTTCCCCAGATCCCGGTCTGGAGCAGGAGCAGGAAGGGTTAGTGCAACCTGCTTAAATCTGATTTCTCTCTCCGCCTTGCCCTGTCCCCTTTCCCCTCCTCCCTGACTCCGAGCTCGCCTGGCTCTGCTGCCGGACATTAACTGCCTGCCCTGCCCACCGGCTTCTCTTCCCCGCCTCCCCTGGCCAGTTCTTTCCGGACGTTGCATGTGTGATCTGGCTGCGAGGGATTATGAGCTCCCTGCGCTGTTTGGATCCTGCCATCTGCTTGGGTGCCTGATCTCACTGCTCACATGCAGCTGCCGTAGGCGTCACAGCGCATGGGCTCGGATCGGGGTGCGGGGCCCCAGAAAGGAGCCAAACGTCGTCTAACTCGGCTAGTGCTCCGGGTGCTCAAACAGTGCCCAGCCCCCAGGGAGCCCAGGGGACTGGCGTCGGATGGAGCAGACTGCAACTGGTGCAGCCCGGGGAGACTCCTGGTCCCAGCATGGATGATCTGAGAGGCTTGGCTGCAATGCATGCTGGGACCTGTGGTCTCTGCATACCGTGTGCACCCATTTTAAAGATCTGGGGGCCCATGGTACAGTCCTTGCTATCCGTGGGCTAGTGAGAACCCGAGGCGGAGGGTTAGAAAGGGGGCTCCACCTCGGGTTTGAGGCGCATACGTGATGCTGCCTGCCCCTTGCTGGAGATCCCAGGGCGTTCGTCTCAGGAGCCAGACGATTAACGCTGGTGTCCAGCTTGGGAACTGACACTCTGCCTTCCGAGAGCTCCGTCACCCTCTGGTGCTGCCCAGGCCCCGCACTCTGTGCTTCCGGTGCTAACTCGTTAGGCAGTGTTGCTGTGCGCGGCTAAGCAGGCTCCGTGCTTCACCCCAGAGCCAGTTTCCCTTCTGCAGTCGATGGAGCGACCCCCACATGTCCTCACGCACTGACCAAGAGCTGCTCCAGAAATGCCAGGCGCTGCTGTTGTCAGGCCAGATGCTGGCTCCTTACTCCCCTTTTACTCAGTCCGCACTCCAGCAGTATAAACTTGTGGGTGAGCCCCTCTCCCACTTTTGGGGCAAAACTCCCCCGGACTTCACTTGGGCCAGGATTTCACCCTCTTTCTACCACCTCTTTTGCTGCTTTCCAGCCTCAGATTTGCAGCCCTTTTAATCGGGGCTTTAGCATCCGAGCAGCTCCAGCGCGGGAGATCTGGACTGGTCGCTGGTTTACGACAGGGCTGCCCCAGATCACATTCAGTTCTGTATCTCAGGAGCCCGGTTCATCCCAGCCAGGAGGGCTGGAGACTCCAGCTCATCTCTAGTGCTGGTGGGTTGAGGTTTTACACGTCTCTTTCTCTCCCTCTGCCTGCCCAGCTGGCCTGCGGTCACCAAGGCTCTGTCTGCACTACACAGCTTTCAGTGACAGCCGTGTGGCTAAAAGTCAGGCAGTGTAGCCACTCTTTGTCGGCAAACACTTCCACCCCCAGCAAGGGGCGTTCGCGTTGTCGGCAGGAGAGCGCTCCTGCCAACAACGCACTGTTCACACTGCCACTTGCTGCGGCAAAACTGTTGTCTTTCAGGGTCAGGGGGGCGGTGAGCCCCTGTGAACGAGAAACGTTTTGTCACTCAATTGCCAGTGTAGACACAGCCTAAGGCTCACGCCGGGAGGGATATAGAAAATACCACAGCCCCTTGTGATTGAGTATGACTGTTGCACCAGCGCCTACAGAGCCCTCTCCAGGATCAGGACCCCACTGTGCTAGGCGCTGTACAGACAAGTGAGGACAGCTCCTACCCCATGGGGCTGTTCGTGTGGGTAGAACGGAGCACGTGTGTCAATGTTTGTACTATCAGGGCAGTTGGGTCTAGGTCTGGATTGGTAGCCAAACTCCCCTCCGGGTTCGAGGGGTTCGTGTCCGGAGCCGGAACCCAACAAATCTGGGATTGGGATGCAGTGTTCGGAGCTCTTTGGGTTCAGCCCTGTCTCCTTCCATGCTCCAGGCGATGCACATGAGGGGGGCTGGAGGGTGCCTACCGGGACGTGTGTATATGGGTGTGTCACACGGGCGTGAGCTTTCCCAGACGCTGAGCACCCAACCTACAGCTGCAGTCAGGGGAAGCCCCAGATGCTCAGCCCCTGGGAGCTGCGGGAGTTGCATTTCAGAGCGAGAGGGACTGTTCCCTGATCATTGGAAATGTGCTACCATGCCCTGGCCTGCGGCCTCAGGCACTAGGCGTTCCAGCGGGGCCAGAGGAACCGTCCTAGCCTGGGGCCAAGGTTGTCCCATCTGCAGCGCAGCATCCTGTCCTGTCCATCACATTCCTCCCGAGTGTGTTTTAAATAGCGGAAATGAGACCTTCCTCCTAACCGTGACTGCGGCCACCTGGGGACTGGGAAGTGCGCCATGCGCTCCTCCTCAGCACGCGCCCGCCCTTCTCAGTTGCAAATTAAGTAGTCATGTGATGCTATTTGAGCCAATCAAAGGAGAAGATAGAGGACTAAAGCCCCAGTTAGAGCAGAGGTAGCGAAGAGGCGGACCGCCAGCCAAATCTGGACCGCCAGCTTTTGAACAGACCCCAAAATCTTTTACTTGTTATCGTTATTATTATTTTTTTTATTATTTTCTCTGGAGTCTGGACCTTGACTATAACTTGACCAAGAAATTTGGATCTTGACTAGGGTGACCAGACAGCAAGTGTGAAAAACCAGGACGGGGGGTGGGGGTAATAGGAGCCTATATAAGAAAAAGACCCAAAAATCGGGACTGTCCCTATAAAATCGGGACATCTGGTCACCCTAATCTTGACAAAAACCAGTTGACTGCCCCTGAGTTACAGCATTAAACTACAGACCCGAGCGATGGGGAGGGGGGTGTCTCCAAGGGGCCTGGGAAGAGAGCAGAGCGCAGGCGCGGATGCTTGGCCAACGCCGAACGGACCCTCAAGTGCTTGGAAATCTCACGTGAGCAAGTTTCCCGCGGAGATTTCTGGGGTTTCCTGGCGGGAATAGCCAGAGCGCAGATTCTGTCCTGCTGTTTCCTCAGGGCGAGAGCGCCGTCTAGCAGGAGACAAGGAGACGGGACTCGTGGGTTCTAATTCCATCTCGGCCACTGGTGGTTTGGGCAAGTCAGCTCATCTCTTGGTGCCTCAGGTTCTCACTTGGTGAGACGGGTATAAAAATGCTTCTTTGCGCCCCAAATTCCAATGACATCAGTTCAGATTGGTGACGCGCGTCGGGAACCTGAAATAAAGACGTCAGGATGGCGTTACGTGCTATTGTTCCTTCTGCTTCCCAGAGCAGAGGGATGTAGGAACCAGTGAGGGAGGGGAAATGACGACGGTGGCAGAACTAGGACCCTGGCTCCCAGTGTCCTGGGATGTGTCTGGCCTAGCTGGGAGCAGGAAATACCAGCCAGCTCCTACAAAGAGCAGGGGGCCTCATCCTTTGGCTCCGCGGCAGCACAAACTGCAGCGCTGCCAAATCGGGTGAGTTTGGGATGCTGGCTGCTTTGCTTAAAGCCCACCTCCCGGGGACGGGGCATCATGGGAGAATCCAGCTTTCATTTATAGTGTCTCTCTCCCCGGCGGTTGTGGAGACGAGACAAGCTTGGGAAGGTGCCCCCTCCAGGCTCAGAAGGAGACTCCCGCATCTATTCTTTTTAAAGCTCTCTTTTTTGAAGCCAGTCTCATGATTTTGGGGGCCTGGTTCCTGCTTTGTGAGTGGCTGGGGCTGGCCACAGTGAAGTCCAACCATTGCTGAATGTATCTTTGTGTCCCCCCCACAGAGCAACGGCAAAGGCAAAGACTGCGTCTTCACGGAGATCGTCCTGGAGAACAACTACACGGCGCTGCAGAACGCCAAGTACGAGGGCTGGTACATGGCCTTCACCCGCAAGGGCCGGCCCCGCAAGGGCTCCAAGACGCGGCAGCACCAGCGCGAGGTGCACTTCATGAAGAGGCTCCCCAAGGGCCACCAGACCACCGAGCCCCACAGACGCTTTGAGTTCCTCAATTACCCGTTCAACCGGAGAAGTAAAAGGACTCGAAACTCCAGCCCTCGGCAGGGCCCCTGACTTGCCCCGTCCCCTGCCTCCCAAGCCCCGCCCCCTTTTCCTCAGCGTAGACATGTGCTGGACTGTGACTAGAGACTTTTTTTTATACAGTTATTAAAAAAGAAAAAAAAAAAGAGGACAAAAAAAATGACCCGATCTAGTTGTTTATAATTTTGTTTTGTTTTGTTTTTTACAAAAAAAAGAAAAGAAAAGGAAGAGGCTCTATTTTTGTATTCCAACTTTAGAAAAGCAATGAAATGTTCAAAGACTCGCGAATGGGGAAAGCCCCTTCACTTAGACTCGTTCCCGTCGGTTTGGGGTTGTGTTTTATTGCTGTAGCTCTAGGGGAAAGGGGGCAAAAAAAAATCGTTTTCAAACAAACAAACAACAACCACAAACCCCCCCCCCCAATCCGGGACCAAAGCACTACTGCCAATAAAGCAATGGAGGCTTCTTTGAAAAGAAAAAAAGATGGGAAAGAAAAGAGATGGGGGAGGGATTTGAAGACTAGGAACCAGGACTCCTGGGTTCTTTCCCCAGCTCTACTCAGATGCCTGTTGGGTTTCTGGTGGTAATTGGGTTGCCTACGGCTTTCCACAATCAATATATCTATGTCTTTAGCTGGACAAGGGGTGGTTTGATACTGTTCTGATCCCACAACACCGCTTCTTTCCCAGCTCCCCAGCTTTCCACAGTAGGCTGGAGTGGATGGGGGGATAGAGATGCCCCCAGGCAAAATCCTGAATGGAGATGGGCCCTCTGTTAACAAAAGGAACCTGGGAATTTTCTAAAGCTGGGATGGCAGGGCAGGGGGCAGTGACTGAACTGGAGAGGGTTGGATAATGGGGGTTTCGTCCCCATGAACTATTGCGACTCTTCATTGAAAACTAAAAATTTTTTTTGGTTAAAACAGAAATTCCAAAAATTCAGGGGCTGAATTTTTTAAAAAATGTTCCATTCTCAGGCCAAATTTGTCAGGTTCCAGTCCTCCAACACAAAGATGGAATTGGTTTGAGGAAAGCTGCCATTTTTAATGACAAATTTCATTTTGTCAAATGCCCAGTTTTCCTTTGGGGGGGAAATATTGATGGAAAAATTTCCAGCCATCCTGGCTCTGAACCAAGCCCGAGGAGGAGGACTCCGCTAAGGGTTAAAAGAGATTGTGACTGGGGAGAAAGACCAGAGACACTCTGTCAAAGCCAGAACCCGGGTGGCTGCTCAGCCGATCTTTTTGATTGTTTGTTTTTATTTCCGTGAGGATTTTTTGTTGTTGTGTACAAATTTAATATGAAATGATTGAAATATTTATTTAATATGTGCATTAAAATTTGTATTAGTACGAACGGGCTTGTCTGCTTTCCGGGCTCAAGGGCGGGGGAGGGGGAGGAAGTTTTTTAGAGAGGGACAGAGCGAGGCCTGGAAATGAGGAACCTGTCTGGAACTTGTAGGACCAGGAGGTTTTAGTGATTTGCAGCTGAGTTGAGCCTTTTAGGGCCGGAGTCCCCAGGGCTCAGCATACACGATCGGGAGCAGATTTTCCAAAGAGTTCAGCTCCCACTTAGAGTCGTAGATTTTAAGGCCAGAAGGAACCAGCCGATCATAATTTGACCTCCTGTATAGCACAGGGGTAGAATTTCAGCCTGGCTAAAGCGTCTTCCAGAGAGGCAGCCAGTCTTGATTAGAAGGTTCAAGAGAGGGAGAACCCACCGCTTCCCTTGACAGGTTGTTTCAGTGGTTAATCACCGTCCCTGTTCAGGATCTGCGCCTCGTTTCTAATTGGAATTTGTCTGGCGTTAGCTTCTAGCCACTGATCCTTGCTGTGCTTGGCTCTGCTAGATTACAGAGCCCTTTAGCACGTGGTGTTTTCTCCCCGTGAAGATACTTTTCCACTGCGATCAAGTCACCTAAGTAAGCGAGCCCCGTATTGAGGTCAGCAAGGGCTCGAGAGCTTGTGGGGAGAAAAGGGGCTTTTTCGCTTTCGGAGCAGGCCGAGTCCCGGCCGAGATCACAGTTGGTCTGGGGCAGAGGAGGAGATTTGGTCTGGTGGGAGGTGGTGTTGGCTTCCTGGCTATGGAGACCAACTAATTCAGGTATATACAGAATAGCTGCCGGCTTCCTACCCCCACCTGGTTTCGGGGGTGTGTGTGTGACTGCCTTTATGGGGGACTGCCTTTTCATACTCAGTGGCCCACTTGATCTATGGTGTGTTTGCTGGAGGGCGATGGAGAACCCGCCACAGTGCTAGGTAAGTCGTTCCCGTGGTTAATGAGCCCAACACCCCTCCCCCAGATTCTGCACTTACTTCCTGTCTAGTTCGAATGGATCCAGCTTCCACTTCCAGCCCCTGAATGTTGTTCTGCCTTCCTCGGGTAAAGGAAGGAGCCCTCTACTACTGACTGCCAGAATAAATTAACGAATGAATCCACGTCCCGTCCCCCATTGAGCCCATTTTGCAGATGGGGAAGCTGAGGCACAGAGCGGGGCGTCACTAGCCGTGAAAACCCAGGCCCAGATTGAAAAAGCCCAACCTCCACTGAATAGTAAGCAGCTCAGGGCCCTTCCTCATGCTTCTTCATTCACTGACTTCGGGGGCACTGGCTGAGTGAGCCAGGCTCCTGAGAGGGAGGCGCCGAAGGCTTACCGCTTTGGTGGACTCTTGTGGAGTCCCTTGCACCGGTGCAAAGTGGGGCTGAGCTGGTAGCATTGTGCCCCCGCTGGGCACGGGCGTGAAGCGCAGCGCGGAGGAGACGCCGGCTCCTGGTTACTACCCGCTGGTCTCTGCGCCCTCTGGTTTCAAAGGGAGGGATCGGGGGAAAATCCTCCCGGCTGATCAAAGCAGAGCTGCACTGGCAAAGGAAACTAATGAGATTTCCCACTTCTGGTCTCAAGGATACGGCACTGAAGTGTCTCCAATAGACTCACAGATAATAATTAACCAGAGGCCGTGAAGCCCATGAGCCAGCGGAGGGCTGAGACATTGGGGTCTGGGGGTTAGAAAGCATTGGGCCCTTTGAAGATTGGTTCATGCAGAAGCCGGTCCTCCTTTGAGCACTGAAGTTCCTGGGCTCGCGCACCGCTGGGGGCTGGGGGGAGCTGTTTGACGCACCCTGGTTCTGGGTGGGTTTTTCTACGGTGCATTTAACAGGGAATTTCTTCTAGGGCCACCTGGCTTCCAGGCGCTCCAAAGTGGGCGCCCCGCACATCGATGCCGCAGCACACGAGGGGACGTCGTTGCTGGGAGGGCTCAGGGCAACGGCAGCGCCTGGCCCAAGAGACGCCGACCCCGGGCGCCAAGCCAGAGAGGTGAGTGCTACCTCCCCCCCACCAGGGAGAAGACGCCTGGGGTTCTTGTCCCCGAGAGAATAGTGCGCTCAGCCGTTTTAGCGAGGACACAGCATGAGCCCCCTCTGCGCCTTGCTAGGGCTTGCTAACCACAGCGTTTGCAAACATTAATGAAGCCTGGGGGGATTATCGTTCCCTTCCAGGTGGGGAAACTGAGGCACGGGGGAAGTGATTTAAGCGCCACAGAGAGGCAGTGGCCGAAGTGGGACTAGAACGCTGTGTGTGACAGAAAGCAGAGGAACACAAGAGGCAGCGTAGCCAGAGGGTGTGTCTACACCAGTGTAATGTTCACCTCCATTACAGTTGTGCCCTAATAGTCCGAGCTCCAGGCTACGAGACAGCTGCTTCTGAGAGCTAAACCCTGCTCTGACACTGCCTCACTGGGTGACCTTGGGCAAATCTCTTCCCCTCCCCGTGCCTCGGTTTCCCCATCTGTGAAATGGGGATGGTCCCAGGGAGGCACGTGAGGCGAGGTGCAGATGGGTGAAGGCCGCGTGTGATGATTAAGCAATGGGCAGCGAGAGAGCGAAGGGGAGGGACTGTGTGAACGGCGCTGCTGATGGGCTGGAGGGGACGAGCGGCCCCTCCCTGTGATCGGGTTAGTACCTTCTGAAGCAGCCTGGTGGGAAATTGCCATCCTACAGCAGCCACTGTGTGCCTCCCCTTCCCCCGACAAAACCTCTGAGAACGCCAGGGGCTGGGCTGGGCTGAGATGCAGCTGCAGACTCGTCCCCTGGGAGGTTGTTGCGCTGCTGCTTAGCATGTGCACAACGGGCTGGAGGTGGCATGTGGCCAGGAGTCATCACTGAATTCGGTCCCCAGGCTGGGTACTGCCGGGGAACGCGCCGTGAGCGCTGAGCCGTGCCCCCCGCTGCAGCGAGCGAGCAGGTGTCTCCTGCGTAGGGCGGGACGCTCCACAGGAGAGATTTGTCGCCGGGTTGGTCCTTGGTGCTCCGATACTACGGTGACAGGGCCACATCGGAACCGAGCTAGATAGGATGAGCCGGGTGAGTGATGGCATTTCACTGAGCCGGCCAATCAGACTTCACCAGACAAATTCCCCCCTGGTTTAAGCAGGTGTCCCACCCATGGACACTCCAGCAACGTGTGCACCCGGGAGCTTGTAGCCGCTCAGCGAAGGGAGCCGTCCCTGGGCGAGCCGCACCCGATGGGTCCTGGCTGGATGCTGAGACCACCCTGAGAAATCGTCCTGCTTGGAGTCCCACCATGTCCCGGGTCCCCAGGAGAGCTCGTAGCTTTCACCCCGAATGGCTCGTCTCCTTCGCCGGCCCTTGGCGTGAGTGGCTGCCACGCCCTGTACCTTCAGTGGGCCGTTGCGCCCGTTTTCTCCAGGGTTTCATGAGCCCATGGCAGAGTCTCCTTTCTGAACTCCCCAGAGCTTGGGACCCAGACTCGGTGACTGGCCCCAGTCTCGGGGGGGACGTTGTGACCCAGTCCCAGCACTGCAGCTTGAGGCCTGTCTCGGATTGTTACCCAACTTCTCGCTGGTCTCTGCCAAGCAGCTGACTCGGAAAATGCTTGTGCTTCGGCCACGGCCCCCGGCGAACGGGGCTGGCTCCATGGCCCTGCACCCCGAAGATGGGGGCCTGGCTGGGCCATCTCAGCTCAGGAAGGAGAGGCCGGAGCGTTTTGTTTATTGCATCGGGCTCTGCTTTCAAGCATCTCTCTTGCCATTCCCCCTCCCCCTCCTTTAATTAATTCGGGTTAAGAACTCCTGGCTTTATTGTGCCAAGGCGCTGAGGGCTCCCTGTGGGAAAAGTCACACCTTCTGAACAGCTTCTGATGCCA